AATTTCCTTTTTAACAGGATTGCTTTGATTGAAGGGGTCAGGGACAAAAATAGGCAATACTGCCTTTAGACCCAAGCAAGAGGAGCCCCCGCCCTAGGCCCCAGGTCGGACAGGGCCCTGCATAAAACAAACACACAAGATGTACATTTATGATAATACCTTGAGTATCTTTCTTAGAGATCAGGCTCAATTCTGGCACAGCCCGTCCTACAGTCTTAAATATGTACTTCTTTGCCTACTACCTTTTAGACCCTTTAGACTCTTCATCACACCTCTTGCCTTATGTGCATCAGACAAAAGGTGATAGCTTTCAGTGCCATCAAGGCTAGGGGGTGCACAGCTGTACACATGGGAGATGGTCACTGCCTAGGAGTAGGGGGAGGATTTGAGCAATGTATGTGCCTAATTAAGAGATGTACAACTTAGCTTATTGATTTCCTCTTGGAGAGCATAAATGCCATAGATAGTAAAGTATTATGTCTCAGTTGTGCTGAGCATCCTTTTCTTGCTTCTCTTTGTATTCCAGTTCATCATTCTTGAGATACTCATAAACTGCCCAGGGTTTGCAACAGGCACATACTTAATGCCTAGAAATATTAAACAATGCATACCTCTCTAAATTTCTATTTATACAGGTCCAAACAGAAAATTCATGCTGGATCTAGATTCTAGAATATTGCTTCAAGAGATGCTGAAAATGGCAATATAAGTAATCATAGTTCATAGGATGAAATTTAAATATTTTGAAATATTGTCTACAACAGTGATGATGTATCATACGCAGCCCCAATTACAGTATTTGATCATGATACGTAAAAGTCACAGCTCATTTCCAAAACTTATTGCTAGTTCAGCTGAGTAAATTTTCTCCAAATTGAACTGAAATGAATTTTTAAAATACAATGATTCAACAAAAGTGGTTTGATTTGATAAAAACGGTCAATAGAACATGACTTACATGGAAATCTTGATTATGAAAATATGTATTTTGCTGAAACATCTACAGGATAGACACACAGTAATGCAAAAGTTAAAGTGTTTCTTTGCTCATCCAAATATCATTTACCCATTAATAGAGCACCCAAACATACATAATAGTAATCCAGTCATCTTTGATTTTTGTTTACTGTCAGTCGTACAGAAATCATTAATTTTTTAAAACTTTTTCAACATTAAAGTGGAAGGACAGAACATATTTTAAGTAACTTTGTTAGTGATTCATAAATTTTAAATATTTAGATAGTTATTATGTTGGGTTGTAGTTTAGCCCTGAATCCCTTAGGGATCATAGGGAAATCCAATTTGGAGGTTATGCAATAAAAAAAAAAACATCCAGGCAATATGATGGTGGTTTGATTAGGGTGACGGTAATGGAGATGTGAAAAGTTGTGAAATTCTGGATACTTTCTGAAACACTAAAAGGATTTCCTGACAGACTGGATTTAAGGGTGAAAGGGAAAAATTAAATGACACAAGGTTTTTGGCCTGAGCAACTCCAGAAAAAAAGTTGTCATCATGTAAGTTAGGGCAGGTTGTGGGAGGAGCAGCTTTGGGAGAATTTCAGAAGCGTGTTTTGTCATTATTAACGCTCTTCATTTTGGAGCTTTTAACAAGATGAGAGAGTATAGCTGAAAGAAGGGGAACTGTTGTGCCATTTCTCCACCCTTGTAGCAGAAAGCAGCATAAGGAACCTAGAAGCCACCTCCCAAAACCATCCCAAAGGATAAGAACTTCCTTAGTTTGTATACCCTGAGAAAAATTCATAATTAACCACCAATCCTGGATCCTAATCCTAAACTCTTAACTTCAGACTTTCTATATGTTTACCACAAACATACATGTAAGACCCTGCTGGATATCATAAATCCTCCACGTGAATTGTTCCTCCCTTACTGGTCCTCTGCCCAGCTGCCTGTTACATCATATCCTTTGATGTGGTTTCTCTTCCATCTTCCTAGGTTAATTGGGTCTCAGCCTCCCCAAATCCTTCCAACCCAAAGATGGAGAAGGCATAAATAGAAAAATACATATCTATAAGAAAGGAGGGGAGGGATAAATTAGGAGTTTGGAACTAGCAGAAACTAACTGCTATATACA